GGGAAGAATAAGGTGAGTGTTCGAGTGGGTGGACTGATCATAGGGAACAGATGAAATTAATACACAAGAGGGCACACAAGAACGCAAAAGTACTCCCAGGATTCACACAAGTGCATCTGCGCTCAGTTCTGTGGAATTATGTGTTCCACCAAATGTTTCTAGATAACAACAATCAAGTTCCAATTCTAGTTTTTCTGTTGGTGGTTAAACAGGTGTCCTTCCTCTCTGATTACTGGAACAACATTAAATAATTTATTTTAAGAATACTCCATCTCCATCCCCCATGCATGTACCTGAATCGCCCTCCTTGTTGGTGCTAGAACAACAATAACAAATAGTAACGAAGAGTATTAAAATAAGTTTGTTTTGGTATCAGTTTGATAAATATCAGAACCTCCTTTAATAAGAAACATGGAGGGAATAGAATCTGATGGCGAGCAATCCAGCTGTCAAAATCAGTTTCCCCAAACCTGTGGAGAGGCATGTTGATGTAGTGGCTTAAAAGTTGTGGATTCTATCCCGTATTAGGATGGGTCTTAACCAGTGTCAGTGTCAAACCTACTTATATCAGAAAAGTGGGTAAGAGAATCTGACGGCAAGAATCTGACAGTGAGCAACCAGAATCTGTTTCCCCAGCCCTGTGGGTTGATTATATGCCTTTTGAGGATGAATCCCAACCAATATCAGTTTGATAAATATTTGAACCTCCTTCAATAACAGGGGTTCTCAACTCTGGACCTCGAGATTCACTTTCCTGCAGAGTTTAGCTCCAACCCTAATTAAACACACCTGAACAAGCTAATCAAGTTCTTCAGGTTTCATCCAGGTTGGCGATAATCTCTGCAGGAAAGCGGATCTCGAGGTCCAGGTTTGAGGATACCTGTTCTATAAGAAACATGGAGGGAACAGAATACAATGGCGAGCACTCCAGCTATCAGAATCTGTTCCCCCAGCCCCATGGATGATGTAGTGGCTTAAAAGTTGTTGATCTGATTCTGTTTGGGGATAAATCTTAACCAATATCGGTTTGATAAATATAAAAAACTTCTTTTATAAAAAACATGGAGAGTCATGTTGATGTAGTGTATTCAAATTTGTTTATTATATGCAGTTTAAGAATGCATCTTAACCAGTATCAGCTTGACAAATATTAGAAGCTCCTTGTATAAGAAATATGAAGGGAACAGAATGGCGAGCAATCCAGCTGGGAGAATATGTTCCCCCATCCACTTGAAGAGACATGATCCAGTGGCTTAAAAGTTGTTGATGGGTCTTAACCAGTATCAGTTTGATAAATATTAAAACCTCCTTATATCAGAAAAGGGAGGAATGAATCTGACAACGAGCAACCCGGGTGTCAGAATCTGTTCCCCCAGCTTTGTATAGAACCATGATGATACCATTTGAGGATGGATCTTAACTAATATCAGTTTGATAAATATTAGAACCTCCTTCTATAAGAAACATGAGGGGAACAGAATCCGATGGCGAGCAATCAAGCTGTCAGCATCTGTTCCCCCACCCCCATGAGGAGACATTATTATGTAGTGGCTTAAAATGGTTGATTCTCTACCTTTTGGGAATGGATCTTAAACAGTATCAGTTTGCTAAATATTAAAACCTCCATGTATAAGAAGCATGGAGGGAAAAGGATGGCAAGCAATCCAGCTGGCAGAATCCGTTCCCCCACCCCCATGAGGAGACATAATGATGTAATGGCTTAAAAGCATCTCTTCTATTTGGGAATGGATCTTAACCAGTATCAGTTTGATAAATATTAGAACCTCCTGCTATAAGAAACAATGGGGGAATAGAATTCAATGGCAAGCAAACCACCTGTCAGAATAAGAATGAAAAAAATTTTTGGTTTTCAACCTATGTTGTCAAATTTTGGTTACTCCTAAGCTTACTCATTTTGTGGCTAGAGATAATATGAAATGTTATTACCCCGTGTGAGCTTTGGGTTCTCAGAAAAATGTAAGTACTTACCAAAATTTACCCAACATGTCCCTGGATCAACATCATTGGTCATGGCTGGTCTTGGAACAACATTATTAGCCAAAGTAATGACTCATTATGGGTTTGTGCATAGGACTTAAGTTAGGTGCTTGAACAACATTCTTATCAATCAAGGTTAGGGTTTGAGCAGGGATTGTGTTATAGCTATGATTGTTTAATGAGAATGTAGTTCCTGGACAAACAATGGAAGTTGATGCAGAAACATGTCCTTGAGGAAATCACATAATGCGTAAGTGCTCTTAAACTTTCTAGCCATGCTTGCTTGCATGCAACAGTAGTTTTTTGTGTTTCCACAGACTGTAGGAGTTCTGATAGTTGGCGAAGCATTGATATCTGGCATCTATCGCTGTGTTGCAGCAAACTTAATGGGCAGAGATGAACTAGACATCCGTTTCTATGTCACAGGTACTTTGTATATATATAACTACATTTTAAAAGATGCTTAAACCTCAACATCGAAATATTTTACCTCGTTCTCCATAACTTTTTCTCTCATACTCCCTCTCTCTCACTTCTTCCCTTTCTTCCTCTAATACCGCCCTCCTCCGTCCCCTTGTTTTTGAGGGTTTGCTTTCAGGCTGTGCTAATTTCGGCCACAGTGGATGTAGCCCATCCTGGCTGTTGTCATAGCGACAGGGTGGAGGAGTGAACAGGAACCTGTGGCTCTTATCATACTGCCTCCTCGTGCAGTGCATTATTTGGAGAACACTGGTGGTGTTCGGGAAAGATAAACATTATCTTCCATCAGGAAACCCTCGAGCGGTTTCCACTGGAAATTTCAAATAGCTGAAGTACATAGCGCGCCTTTACACTAGCATCTTATTGCTACTTGTACTGACAATGGCTATTCAACATTGTCATCAAAGGTTACAAAAAATGCTGCTTGGTCAACACTTCCAAAATGGTTTCTCTAGGCTGTTTTTTGTTTAATAGCCTCAAACAAAACTCGGTTGTTGCGAGGAGGTCTGCATGAATTCGTTCTCACTGTATCGAGAATTTTATGCACAAGAAGTGGAAACTGAAACTGCTTTTGTCCACTATCACAGATGTCAAAGGAGGCCTTATTGCGTCTGGTCGAGAATGGCGGGGTCGAGAACGGCGGTCCCGGCGAAGGATCAGTGAAAACGGTGAAAGCCGATCCGGCGATCCACAGCACAAAGTTGATGTATTCCCTCAGCGACCAGCACGGATCAGCTCCAGGCATGACGAAGCAGATATCGTCCTCTTTTGGAGTAAAAAGTAGTTTCGCTTTCACAACAAAACACACAGCGTCTTCAGGACATGGTGGCAACAACAATACTACAGCGAGAATAAAAGTTACACTTTCTTTCTTTGCGTGAACATTTGGGCGGTGTTATGCAAATCTTCCCACATAGTGAGGTAGATATGTGGGGGCGTGTTCGAACGAGCCGTTTTAGGTAGGTGTGGCTGACTCTTAACTTTTATAAAGAATATCTCTTTGGATTTGAGACTTTAGTCTTTGCAAATTTACAGATCTTCTTTATGCACCAAGAGCTTGTAACACTCCAAAGAGAAAGGAAAAAATTAAACCGCATCATATGACCCCTTTAAAACAAATAAGCAAATTTTGTTTTTTACTGAAAGCAGATTTTACTGATACTGATGCGATCTTTGGCACTTTTATGGGGTACAAAATAGGGTCTGAAACTCTGAAAAATTTAATTGTTATAAATATTTCTTCCAACACATCTTGAAATATTATTATTATTATTTATTCATTTATTTTAAAATTGCATTTATTATTATTATTAATAATAATTTATGTATTTATTTTATTGCTTGTCTTTTTGTTTTATTCGGAATTATCCCTGTAATTGGAAAAAAATTGCTATATTTTTTTATAAATATTACTAAACAATTAAACAACAGTTTTAAAATATCCAGTAGTAGTAATTTACATTTTCCATTAGGTAATAAACATATTTTAATATTTTTCTTACAGTATCTTACAGTAACAGGGTTGATTGAGCTTGACAAATTTAGCCAACACTTACTTTTGCTCATATTATGTTACTACGGGGGTGTCATAGTTTTATTTTTTTTGTAACTGGGAGAAATCCAGCCTGGTATGGTCATTAAAAATAGTTAAAAAATAACTAATTGATAATAAATGTTTTAAACATATCTGATAAGGCTTACATCAAAAACAAGGGATTTGTGTCTAATTCTTTTTTTAAAAATAGGACACCACAGTATTCATGGTCATATACCATATCGCTGTATCATCTGTACATTTACATGCTTACAAATGCAAACAGATCAGAAATAGCAGGTTATTGCAGGTCACAACAGCCATCTGATTTTAAGTCACGTAAGGATGTATTTGCAGACACCCACACATTCAGAGACAGAGGCGGATAGAGAAACAAAAAGAGAAGGAGAAAGACAGAGCAAAAGGGGTCCTTGGGAACTGGGTCCCAGAGCTTCCTGTAGCCCTTCTCTCCAAGGCTGTGTGGAGCAGAACCTCTTTGGTGTGGGAATGAGATCTAGTCAGGAGGAAGAGCACACAATGGCACTTCCCACTATGCCACATTTACAGGCTGCTTCACATGGCCAAAGAACAATCAGCCAATCAGCCACTGTCACAGAACGAGGAAAGACAATAATCAATTGTGTCCAGGAGGAAAATATCTGAAGCAGAAGTTTAAACTTATTATTCTCCTCTTTTTGTAGAGTTTTATGTGATCACGCTTCATGTGAAGAACCCCTCAGGGATTTTTGTTTTATGTAAATTAAGTTCCAGACAAATTAACCGGCGATTCTCTTGTATTAATCTACATAAATTTGAGACTACACTGTAAAACTTTCAACAGCCAAAGCAATAGTAGGCGTGCTTGGCCAGCTAACCCGGAAATATCAGTTGAGTCTGTGAAATGCTGAATGTGTCATTAAGACAAACAGAGGGATTTCGCTGAATGGCACAAATCCAATGGCTGCAATTCAGACATTCCAGGCCTCAATCTGCAATGAAAGAAATACAACTCGCCGTCTATTCACACTTCTGTAACAATAGCTACCCGCGTCGCCCGTAAATCACTCAGCTGCTTTATAAGGCGGACGTGTAATGCTAAGTGCTTCATGTGATTGCCGTGATTTCCGTCAGTCTCCCTAGGGGTGTTTTTGATCTTTTTTGATTAAACTGATTCAGCAGATGTGGAACATCATGCGTAATGACCCCTGACCCGAGCCCTTTTGTCTCACACTGTACAGTTCTGCAGGCACCGGTGCTGCTGCGAAACCTGAGCAATCACAGTGTTAACGTAAGCAACTCGGTCACTCTCCACTGCCCCGCTCGGGGAATTCCACATCCCAGGATCACATGGTATAAGGATCAAAGAAAGATGCAGCGGGTGTCTGGTGAGACTAGAAAACATGCTTTTTGAGTATTTGTGTATCCTGTATGTGAATAGATTACATATGTGTTTCTTTTATTGGCAGGTATTATGCTGTTTCCAGAGGAAGGGACTCTTCATATCGACCGAATTACAGTTGAAGACCAGGGACTTTACACCTGTAAGGCCACCAATGAGAGAGGGTCTGTGGAGAGCTCCGCCCACATTTGGGTTCAAAGTAAGCTTCTGCTTTGTCCTTTGTCTTAAAACCTGAGAGTAAATTTACTAATTTTAATTTGTATTATTATAGCTTATTTTAAATTGTATGGCAAGTGTAAATTGAATAATAATAATAAATAATAATGCATTGAAAATCATTTTTAAATCATCGTCTATACACTACTGTAGAAATGGGGGGGGGGGGGGGGGTTATTCTGCAGCAACACATCAAATTAGATCAAAAGTGTCATTTTGTTTCAAATCAATTCTGTTCCATTGGACTTTCTGATCATTCAAAAAATTCTGAAAAAATAAGTATCATAAAAAATATTAAGCAGCACAACTGTGTCCAACATTGATAACAATAAGAAATGTTACTTGAGCACCAAATCAGCATATTAGAATGATTTCTGAAGGATCATGTGACACTGAAGACTGGAATAATGATGCTGAAAATTCAGCTTTACTGAATAAATTATATGTAAAAGTTTTAAAATAGAAACAGTTATATAATAATTCACAATAATGCTATTTTTACTATATTTAAAAAATTTTATTAAATTAATGCAGCCTTGGTGTGCATTAGACATTAAATATACATTAAATACATCCTTATGCATTTAAAAAAATTCTAGACCCCAGATTTTAAACTTTTAATGTATGCATGAATAGTCCTTTAACAGTTTTATGTTGGTATCAGTTTGCTGTTTTTTTTTTTGTTTGTTTTCCCTCCCAGCCTTTTTTTGTCCTCACACTCCCTTATTTACTCTTGTCGGATGCTTCTAAACACGGTGCTGAGAGGAGACGTTCACGCTGTTCTCTTCCGATAGGCCAGGAAGGAAACTGTCTCCCATTTTCATTTCCCACAGATGGCCTTGGTTTTTCAACCCTTAAACTGTTTGCCTACACTGTAAATAGGTTGCTGTAAATTTTACAGTAACTTACTGGCAGCTGGATGCCAGTAATTTACTCCTACACCTCCGATGCAGACGACATGACCACAAACTTGAAAATAAAATACAAAAGATGTTCTTAACAGTGGTGTTTCTTCTCTCAGTTTTCCTCAGTAGGTTGTTAGCTCGCTGTTTTATGTTAACGTTACGTCTGTCACTGAATTTAGGGACCGTCTCTAAAGTTACATACGACATTGGTACACACTTTCTAACTTAAATTGCATTTGAAGAGAATTACCTTACTTGCGATAAAGAGGCAGAGTAGAGAAGATAGCTTACTATGCTTCTCTTTGTTCAACTAAGTTAGTTAACTTCGGCTAACTGACATTATTAACTTACCAGTTGATGTTATCATCGATACTATGACATTCACAAGAAGATGATCCAAAATGCACCTCCGACGTCGCAGACAACATCCAGACTAGAAATCTGAAAATAACAAACAAAAGAAGTACTAGAAAATACTGTTTAATATCTACACTGAAACAGTGGTTTGCCTAATGCACTTTACCACAGTATTTCACGTTAATTCGCTGTTAAGGTTAAATAACGACTCGCCAGAGGAGCTAACTTGCATTAAAGGGCAGCAGAACGTACAAACGTGTTTCTCGGTTTAACTAAGGTTTATTTCGTCTAATATAGCCGACCTTAACTTACTCACCAGTCCATGTTATCAGTCTTTTGGCGACATTCTGGCCGTCAGTCAGAAAAAAAGGCTCCAACTCCCGACATGAAAAATTACACGATGAATAATGTTAGTTTGCTGTTAACAAGTGAAAACATATTAAAATATCGCAGTTTTGCATAAAACAGAAATAATGTACTAACCTTTCGTCGAGTTAAGGTGCATTTCTCTTTTGTCCTTTTACAGCCACTTAAACCAAGTAGTCAAAAAAGAACTAATTTGCCATTGGTCAGTTTTTCGCGGGCAAGCTCACTACTGTAAATTGATTTACAGTAGTAAGGTAACACAGTAGCGGCCGTATATTTTCCCATAATCCTTTGCGGTTTACAGTAAAATACTGTATACACATTTTACAGTATCTTATTGTACATATTACAGTATAATACTGTTCAAATTACAAAAATCAGTTACAGTGTATTTTTATGTAGGTTAATTTGTTTAGCTAATGCATTACTCATGACCTATAGGGAGTTGTCATGCTCATGGGGACAAATGTGATCCCGGTCATGTCCCAGTCTCTTATTTTTTCTCTTTAAACAACACTTGTTTATGTATCCAAAAGGTTCATCTGAATCACTTTCTCTGGAGATCCCGACTCTAGCATGTACATGCGTGGTGGCCACTCTCTTCTGGTTGCTTCTCACACTGCTGATTCGCAAACTCAAACAGGTGAGAGCCAATCAAGGCCAATTAAAACTGCTTATATTATTGTAACATGTAATATATATTTATATTATGTGGGTCATTCTCAGCCAAACTCCACTAATGGCAAAGCAGAGTACCTGCCAATCATCCTGCATCCAGGGGAGGAACCTCTGGTTGAGAACTGCGACAGATTACAGTATGATGCTGCCCAATGGGAGTTTCCACGTGACCGCCTTAAACTAGGTAAATTGTGTGTGTGCTTTATAAGTTGTATTGATGCTGTTATGCAGTATACTGATATGTGATTTATTGTCCTGTTCTCTAGAAAAGCCCCTGGGGCGAGGGGCATTTGGCCGAGTAATGCAGGCCTCAGCTTTCGGCATTTGCAATTCAGCCAGCTGCACCACAGTGGCCGTCAAAATGCTTAAAGGTATATTCTTAAGCATTAAAACTGCTCAAGAATCTTAAAAATACCTGTTGTGTAAAAAGCCTATTTAGCAAATATACATTAGTGTCAGGAGTTATGTCTGTCCTGTTCCTGCAGATGGCGCTACGCCCAGTGAACACAAGGCTCTGATGACAGAACTGAAGATCCTCAGTCAAATTGGGCATCACCTCAATGTGGTCAATCTTCTTGGTGCATGTACCAAACCAGGAGGTCTGCATGTCACCATTTCTCTGTAAACCCTCAAAGTTTGGTTTTGCTGTAATATGGCATCTATAAAAGTGATTCAAGATGTGTTAGGCTTGTGCATGTATATGTAACAGGTTACCATTTTAGGGTCAGCATCTTTCTTTTAAAATAAATTAATACTTTTTATTCAGCGAGTGTGCATTAAATTGATCAGAAATGACAGTAAAGGCATTTATAATGTTAGAAAAGATTTCTATATCAAATAAATGCTGTTTTTTTTAACTTTCTATTCATCAAAGACCTTTTTCCTCAAAAAAATGAGGAACTTTTTTTTTTTGATTCATTGATAATAATAAGAAATGTTTCTGAATGTTAGCATAAATGTTTCAGAATATTAGAATGATTTCTGAAGGATCATGTGACACTGAAGACTGGAGTAATGATGCAGAAAATTTAGCTTTGCATCACAGAATAAATTAAGTTTTATAATATATTAAAATAGAAAACATAATTTAAATTGTAATAATAATTCACAATATTACTGTTTTACTGTATTTTGATCAAACAGCATGAGACTTCTTTCAAAAACATAAAAAAATTGAATTGACCAAACTTTTAATCAACATATATAACATTTATGGTATATAGAGAGCGACGGGTGTTGTTCTATATGCATTAATTTGATATGTTTTGGTATTTTCAGGGCCTCTGATGATCATAGTTGAATACTGTAAATTTAGCAACCTGTCTGCGTACCTTAAGAGCAAACGAGAGGTGTTCCTGTTGAACAGGGTTAGTCTATCTATCTATCTATCTATGTATATGCAGTCATCAACTTCATGTCTGAGCTACAATCTTTTATTAGTTTTGCAGAACGTCACTCAGAAAGTCTTATGATTGTCACAGTATTTTAAGCGGGGAACTGTTGGTCTGTGGTATTGTGAGGTTTAGTGACTTCTACATATGTCTGATGTCAAGTTTATAGACTTCTCCTATTTCCTTCTGAAATAAACAGAGCAGTGTTCATCAAGACAACAGAGTCATACTTCCCTCTGTGTGACCATCTCTAAAGCTTCTTACCTCCTTGAATGGCCTCTACAAAAACTTCACACAAAGAACAGTGTGTTTCTGTGATAGTCCTGACCCAAGATCAGTGGGGCTTAGTAAAATATGCGATACATATGGAGTCCTTGTATTTAACTCACACTGATATGTTGATATGTGCTGAGCATTATTCACCAGATGTGTTCCAGCTGAGTGGCTGCTCATTTCATGTGTTGTGTGTCTGACTCAGGAGAACAGAGAAGAGGAGGGAGGCATGAAGGAGGGATATAAAGAACGCTTGGCCAGTGTGTCCAGCAGCCAGAGCAATGCCAGCTCAGGGTTTAGTGAGGAGAAAGAGATCTCAGAGGAGGACAGTGGTGAGCTTTCATCACATGCATGATGTCATTTGAATTATCAATGTGCAATGAACCATAAAACTTGTTGAACAGTACGGAAATCTTTCCCCAGTACAATAATGATTTATTTTGATGCAAAAAGACATTAAGGGGATAGTTTACCAAAAAAAAAAAATGTAATTGTCATCATTTATACTACCGTTCAAAAGTTTAGGGTCAGTAAGATTTATGAAAGAAATAATTATTTTATTCAGCAAGGTTTCAAATGTGATAGTAAATAGTTACAAAATATTTCTAACTAAATGATTATTTCCAAATAAATATTTAAATAAATGCTATTTGTTTGAATTTTCTATTAATCAAAGAATCCTGAACAAATCTATCTACAAAAATATTAAGCCAGAGCAACTGTTTTCAATATTGGTAATGATAAGAAATGTTTCTTGAGCAGCAAATCCACATATCAGAATAATTTCTGGAGGATCACGTGACACTGAAGACTGGAGTAATGATGCTGAAAATTCAGCTTTGACATCACAGGAATAAGTTACTTTTCCTAATATATTAAAATAGAAAACAGTTATTTTAAATTGTAATAATATTTCACAATATTACTGTTTTTGATCAAATGCAGAAATTACTTCTTTTTTTTCAAAAGCATTAAAAAACATTTTACAGAAAGTTGAAAACTTTAAAAGTTAGTGTAGTCACTATCATGTCCATGGATCAAAAATATTCTTCAGGATATTGCTTCAAATTTCACCTTTTGTGTTACATGGAAGAAATAAAGTTCAGTTTGGCATGACATGAGAGTAAAAACAAATATAATGTTGGTCTTAATATTAACACTAGACATTTCTGGGTCAGTTCATTAAAGAGAGACTAACGTCTTTCTGTTTGTCTTCTGCAGGTTCTCTTCCTGAATCCAACAACCCTTTGCTGCTTGAAGACCTGATTTCTTACAGCTTTCAGGTGGCCAGAGGAATGGAGTTTCTCACTTCTCGCAAGGTAAAGAGCCTTCCTGTCTGCATCAGGGTATATGAACATGAATATGGACTTGTTTTTTTATGGATATGTTTTTTTTCATGTTTCCAGTGCATTCATCGTGACCTTGCTGCCAGAAACATCCTGCTGTCCAACAACAATGTGGTGAAGATCTGTGATTTTGGCTTGGCCCGAGATGTGTACAAAGACCCAGACTATGTGCGCAAGGGAGATGTGAGTGTAATGCCATCAATATATCAAAGTTTATGGTCAGCAACTTAAAAAAAGGATCAAATGTGTGTAATGAATGTGTGTTGCCATGAAGGCACGGTTACCAGTGAAATGGATGGCACCTGAATCGATCTTCGACAAAGTCTTCACCGCTCAGAGTGACGTGTGGTCATATGGAGTTCTGCTCTGGGAGATCTTCTCACTTGGTAAAGTCAATACTCTTTATGTACATCAGATAATTCAAGCATTTGGCAAATGCCACAGTTGATTTTTTCATAACATCATCCCTTTGAAATATGGCACAATCGAACAATTGACATTTGTTGCTCTGCCAGGTCATAGCAAGAGAATGAAAGTGAGGAAAATGGATTAGGAAACAAGAAATGTAACCGTGTTTGTGGTCCATAGGAGCGTCTCCATACCCGGGGCTGAACATTGATGAGGAGTTTTGTCACAGACTGAAGCAGGGGACTCGGATGTGTCCTCCTGAGTACAGCACCCCGGAGATGTCAGTTCTCACATCTGAGTACATCATATTAAACATGTTCAATCATTGCCCCATGAACCAATACATTGCTAATATTGAGCTTGTGGGATTTGTCTGACAGTTACAGCATTATGATGACATGCTGGGAAAATAACCCTGAGGACAGACCTTGTTTCTCTGTTCTTGTGGAGATACTGGGAGACCTCCTGCAGACCTGCGTCCAACAGGTGGGACATTATTTATTGTGTTTGTTTGTATTTGACTGGTCAGAACTTTTTTTTTTTACACACACTTTTTTAAAAACAGGATGGAAAGGATTATATTCCACTGGACGCTTTTATTTCTGGAGAAGGAAATACCGTCACGGCGCACATCGACCAGAAAGACATAAGCCAGAAAACACTGGGAACTTCAAGGTACAAATGTGATCATATGTGAACATATTAACTGAATATAAATAATAATTACATGTGAAATACAATATGTACAATTCAAAATACATACAAAGTGTGTTCAAAAAACAATTTCATTAAAATAAATAAATTAAAAATGTCAAATTAATTATTAAAGGAAATTAAGATAAATATTTAAATGTATTTTAGCTACATCAGCTCTGGGAAAATCAAAGCCATCAGCACTTTTGAGGATCTACACAAAGAAATCCCCATTGTAAGTGTTTTAAAAATGTACTTGAATTTCACTTGGGTGAAGTTGCCGAGATTGACTGTTTTTTTTTTTTTTTTACTTTACGGACAACCAGTCTGACAGTGGAATGGTTCTCCCGTCTGAAGAGTTGATTCGGGTGAAGTGGATGGATATTGCCAAAAACATCACTAAGTAGGTGTCATGGCAGTGGCTTCGATGATCTGTTACATAACCATTAAAAAGTTTGGGGTCAGTAAGATCTTTTATTTTAAGGACTTTTTATAGAGTCCTTTTATTCAGCAACGATGCTTTAAATTGATCAAAAGTGATAGTAGAAACATTTATAAGATTACTGTTTTAAATAAATGCTGTTGTTTTGAACTATTTCAGCTTCTAGTTGAAACTTCTGTTTCAGCTTTGCAATCGCAGGAATTACATTTTTAAAGTATACATTATTTTACATTGCAATATTTCAAAATATTACTGTTTCATTGTATTTTTGATAAATGCAGCCTTGGTGAGCACCTAACTTTCCTAAACATTAAAAAATCTTACCAACCCCAAAACTATATGGACAAAATTATTGGGACACCCCCTTCTTTAGAACAGAAAAAAGGCACTTCCAAAACTGTGACAACAAAGATGGAAACATAATTAAAAAATGTTATTTCCATGTCTGTTGCAACAGTTTTGGAAGCAATTGGTGTTTGGTGATGAGTTTTTGGCTCAAGGTCTGCATTTAAAGTCACACCAGAGGTGTTCAGCTGGGATCAGGACTTGGCTTTCTGCAGACCAGTCAAGTTCTTCCACACTGACTTAATCAATCATTTCTTTTTGAACCTTGCCTTATACAGAGGCATGGTCATGTTAGAAAATTAGAAAAGGGTCCTGTCCAAACTGTTGCTATTATATTAGAAGCACACAATTCCCTAGAATAGCATTATATGTTTAAACATTACAAGATTTGTAAATTACTAAAGCAGTCAAACCTATTCATTAGAAGGATGTCCCAATACTTTTTTGGCAATAGAGTGTATATTAAAAATGAACGTGTGAAAAATGAGCATTAAGTTACATGTAATTAGTTACATAAAATGAGGTCACTGCCTTTTGTGTTGCAGGTTCTTCTCCAAAGGTCAAAACCAGCACATGAAGGTGCCTGTAAAAGTGCTGCCTTGTATGAATAGCGCCCCCTGTTGTCATCAGAGGGAGGTTCCTCCTGTGTGTTACTCTCAGAGGTGCTGTTCTCCCCCACCAGACTATGAACTAAACTTATTGCAGTATTCCACTGTATTGCACAGATAGGTATAACATTTGTGTAGCTTACTGAATAAGCCAAATTCAAGTCTTCATGATCTCACACACACACACAACCCATTTACTGTACAAACACAAAATTTTTAATAGGGGTCGTATACTAAACTTATTGCAGTATTCCACTGTATTACAACACAGATAGGTATAACATTTGTGTAGCTTACTGAATAAGCCAAATTCACGTCTTCATGATCTCACACACACACACAACCCATTTACTGTACAAACACAAAATTTTACTGTTTGCATTTCTAGTACAATCCTTTTTTCCTTAGCTAAAGTATGCAATATATCTGTCTATAGCCCCCCTAAAAATGGCCTAGCGACGCCAATGATTGTTACTATCTTGTTAGCAAATAGCATTTCAGCGTTTTTGTTTTTAAACTCTTATCTCATATCTGTATATCCTCTTTGAAGCCACTGGTAATCTGTACCACTTTAGTTTTGTTCTAGTAGTCACAGAGCAGCTAATATTATTTATGAAAAGCATTTATTACATTCACTGCTTGTAGGTACCAAATGTTTAACTGTAGAGCACATTTCATGTGCTGCAAGCCATATGCTGGAAAAGTTATAACATTATTGTCAATGCTGAAAACAGTTGTGCTGCTTAATATGTTTGTGTAAACCATGAGAATATTTTCAGCATTATTTGAAATTCAAAACAACATTTATATGAAATGGAATCTTTTGCACCATTATAAATGTCTTTATAGTCACTTTTGATCCATGTAACACATCGCGGCTGTTAGTAAAAAAACATTACTAACCCCAAACTTTCTAACAGTAGTGTGTTACAGTAGTTAAAAAAATGGGTTAAAAAAACCTTTACTATCATGACACTAATCTCAACCCTAATGATAGCCACAAAAATTTCTGCTGTAAAACATTTGCACCATTCAAAACCATATCTGAGACTGGGTCTCGTTGCTGCTTTTTCAGTGCTGGTCATTTTTGTAGCATCTATTTTGGAAAGCATCCTATTCTTCTCCTCTGTGCTCTGACTTTCAGCCAAAAGTTGCAAACAAGTTCCTTTTTGCTGCTGTAGTTCATCATACTCTACTCAAGCAACAATCATGCCATTTAAGAACAAACAAACGAGTGTTCTCTTTTATTACTCTTTATTAAAATACTGCTGTACACACAAATATTGCAAAAATGTGACAAACACAAGAAGGGCATAAAACGTACTGGGATGGTGAAGGAGGATTTCATGTATGAGTGCATATGTATGTATGTGCCTGGAGTGCGTTCCACTGGAAACTGGGTACATGATATGAGATCAGCCTGTAAAAGGTGTATTAATGTGTATGTGTGTGTGTGTGTGTGTGTGTGAGAGAGAGATTTGGAGAGGGATACGGGCTTGGCACCATGTCCACCAAGTATCAGTTGACTAAAACAAAAAAGTACATTATTGAACTTACACAGCATCCTCAGCTCTGCCTGCTGTATCCTGCACCCTCTCGGTCCAGTGTGGCACACCCAAATCTGTGCTGCAAGTCCCGCCTGTTCCTTGACTCACGGATTGGGCAGTCACCAATGACAGGTCAGACACATTCAGTCATTGGCATATTCCTGTCAGGGATCAACCTGAGCGAATTCCAAACTGTTTTCCGGGAGAGGGATACGGGCTTGGCACCATGTCCACCAAGTATCAGTTGACTAAAACAAAAAAGTACATTATTGAACTTACAGCATCCTCAGCTCTGCCTGCTGTATCCTGCACCCTCTCGGTCCAGTGTGGCACACCCAAATCTGTGCTGCAAGTCCCGCCTGTTCCTTGACTCACGGATTGGGCAGTCACCAATGACAGGTCAGACACATTCAGTCATTGGCATATTCCTGTCAGGGATCAACCTGAGCGAATTCCAAACTGTTTTCCGGATGTTGTCACATAATTCATAGGTCAAATCATAGTTAAACAAAAACGAAACCAAGAGAAACCAATAGAATCCCAACCGTCCTGCTGGGACTGGTCCACAGTGAGAAACATCCCATCATGCATCTCTGTACAACAACTTGGTGAAGAAAGGGATCGACCGTAACAACACAAGAGAGCTCTATACTGAGATTCACTAGATCTAAACCAATACTAGCGTGGAGAGCGGGAAAACGAGAACGAATTAGGAAAAAGAATGACGAAATGGACAGAAACTTGGGATGCTCCACAACAGAGGCATAAGAGGACATTCCACAATGAGACAGAACTGGCTTCCCTTGCTAGTGTGGTCCAGCTCTTTGGTTCCCATCACAAAAGCCTGACTAAAAAAAAAAAAACAGAAACGACAACGAAAATCCATCCTCTCAAAATCCGATTTCAAAAAGCATCCGTAAAATGAAAAAGGATGTTGCGAAATTCTGAAATAAACGACAAGTTTACACAGCAAGAGGAGAGAGCACCCCTTTGTCGTGGAATCCCCCTCGACTGCACGCAACCAGTAACTTCCCCTCCCGCCTCCAGGTTGGCCAACTTTTAAATGAGTCAATACAGCAGACGAGGAGTGGCGGCACATTAATACTTATGCCACACATTCATAAGTGGTCAGTCTCATCAGTTTGTCCCATCAGAGCCGAGGACTCTGAACACATGACCAGTGGTCTGTCCCAATTCGTAGTACCTCATTAAAAACAGCCGAGGAGATGATGTGGAAAAAAATGGCGCTCCGTTTTTCTTCCATTTCATGTGTGAGAACCCCGGCCCTGAACGCACCCTGTGGGACACGTACAATCACTTAAAAAGGAACTTGAAATGTTTAGTGCATCCTCCAAAGAAAAAATAAGGAAGTCTCTTATTTTTTGGACATTGTTCCCAAGTCTAAAAAGAAAAAATAATTCATCATTATCACAGCTCTCAGTTCAGTTCATAATTCTGCAGCTGCGGTGTTGTTGTGAAAACTAAAAAAATAAGCTTTAGAAAACAACTTTCTCTGGACAGAACAGTGTATCTGACTGGAGGTGAGCAACCAGCTGGCTCTGCCCTGGTCGTGAGATCATCATTCTGCACCTATGATTCCAGGCTGTAGTGCAATGTGCTCGGTTTCAGGCAGTTCCAGCCCACTCTTGTGGATGGCTGGGGGTTACAGGGGGCCGTTTGTGGTGGCAAGCAGTTCCTGGAAGGTGCTCTCAAAGCAGCGCTTCAGGTCTGAGTAAGTCACCACGAGCACGCTCTTCTCATCCCGTGACACCAGACTGATCTTCTCCGGTACTCCAGCATCCAACTGCAATCAGAAATTAAAGGAAGTTAGTGACAAAAATAGTCAACTGGTTAAACTAGCACAGCTGACAAATAATAGAGTTCCATGACAATGAATAAGAAAAATCTGTTACATTTAATTTTAAAATTACAAATTATATACGTAATTCAAAATATATGTAATTCTACAATTAAGTACTCAGTAACATTAATTAACAACATGTACTTACTATAGGGTTATAGTAAGGATAAGGGTTTGGATTAGGGTTAGTTGCTTGTAATTATACACAACTTACTGTTATTAATATAGTAAATCCATGTAATGCAACAAGTACACTAAAACAAAATGCTACTGCAAAAAAAAAAAAAAAAGCTGGTTTAAAATGGGTTCCATGTGCTTAGATATGTATGGTTTGTTTTCATATTGGTTTTGTAAAACATACACTAAGATAAAAATTTAAATTTAATGGCACTAAAAATGTCATGTGGTGTAACTATCAAAAAAAAATTATAACATTTTCTTTAAACCATAAATACGTGTACTCATCATTTTTTTCCCCCCCCAAAGGCATTAAAAAAAAAAAAAAATGATTGAGTTCATAAATTTCACGTCATTACAACCTAAACGAACCTTCCCTTGTCATAAGGTCAAATTATCTTGTACTTTTCAAAAAATGAATAAGCGTTTTTTATATATATATTTTTTAACAAAAATAAAGATTGAAAAGATTTTATTTTCCAAGTAATTTATTCTTTTAATGAGCCTTTTTTCTTGACAGTTTTTACTTTACCATCCTTTCAAAAATATTTTTTAAAAACTTTAAATTCAGAAATTAAACATGTTGCATTAAAGTAAATAGGTGTATTAAAGTAATTGTATATACAAGTTGCATTTTTAATATAATTTTAAACAATTTAATAAATTGTTGGCCCGTATAACATGAGCTCCAATTGACCTTAGCTGTGATGAAACGTCTTTCCATAATTAAAAAAAAACCCCTCCATTTAACTGCTCCAAACTCCAAAAAAGGCTGTGTGCTTTATATAGTACCTGTCATTGTAAAGACAAAGTCTATAAAGTCTGTCCCTCACAGCCTCGTTTTCATTTGCATTAAATTCATTATGGTGTCTATTAAGGTCTATACACAAATAGGCACAAGCTAAACAAGCTCACCTTATTGAGAAATAAATTGTTGGCCCGTATATAACATGAGCTCCAATTGACCTTAGCTGTGATGAAACGTCTTTCCATAATTAAAAAAAACCCCTCCATTTAACTGCTCCAAACTCCAAAAAAGGCTGTGTGCTTTATATAGTACCTGTCATTGTAAAGACAAAGTCTATAAAGTCTGTCCCTCACAGCCTCGTTTTCATTTGCATTAAATTCATTATGGTGTCTATTAAGGTCTATACACAAATAGGCACAAGCTAAACAAGCTCACCTTATTGAGACAGGACACGATGTGGCTGAGGTCGATCACATGAGCTCCAATTGACCTTAGCTGTGATGAAACGTCTTTCCATAATTAAAAAAAAACCCCTCCATTTAACTGCTCCAAACTCCAAAAAAGGCTGTGTGCTTTATATAGTACCTGTCATTGTAAAGACAAAGTCTATAAAGTCTGTCCCTCACAGCCTCGTTTTCATTTGCATTAAATTCATTATGGTGTCTATTAAGGTCTATACACAAATAGGCACAAGCTAAACAAGCTCACCTTATTGAGACAGGACACGATGTGGCTGAGGTCGATCCAGGGTGTGCCTGCCTCAGTTACCTGGTGGAACAGGTGATCTCTGAAGAGCTTCAGCAGGTAACGATCACCAGTCTCAGACCACGTCGGGTCCTTCTGGAACCTACAAGAAATAAATATTACATTACACGTTGACGTGAAGCATTTTGAAAGTATTCTATAAAAGGTTGCCGTTTCAGCACTTTAGTTGTAATAAAAGACTTACTCTGGTCTCTCGTTGATCGTTCCCAGTTTTGCCAGTAGGCGGAACAATCGCCCATTTTGAACCTCCTGCAAAATGCAGATGCATAAGCAAAAAGCTGTAATACAAATTTATTAGGATTGTTTTTGAATAACAAAAAATGCTATTTTGGGTTTGCGTAAGTGAGACTTTGTAGATTATGAGAAGGGAAGTTAGAGAGGAACCCAGGTCATATTTAAACCTCTTTCTGAGTCACATTCGCTCTCACATCAGATGCAGCAGTGTCAAACAAACACAGGAGA